AAGCAGCCCCTTGGGAGTCACATGCAATGCACAGTTATTTCCATGACAACGTCATTAAAAGTGTCATGGTTGCCATCTGAAGTATTCAAATGTAATCAAGCGAAAGAGCCACGAGACGTCGAGGTGACTTCACACTTTCGTTTGTGATTCTTGTTCAAATAGAAGCACAGTTCCACTGTTGGATGAAAAGTATCGGGACAGAACGACTCAGATGGTTTATCAAGAAAAAGCTGCAGAATGTCTTTCATTGCAATAATGACTGAAGTATCCTTTCAGTTACCTCTTTGAGACTTCTTAAATGTGACTTGTGTGCCCGCCAACATTTCTTCTTTCCGTCTGAATGAACCACTCTCTGAACGGAGACTTTGCAAAGTTCAAGAGTTTCATGAAAATCTCTCCATTTAGTGTTGATGAACCCTGACGGATCCTCCGCAGAACTTCTCACATATGGGATTTTGAGAAGTTAACGATTGAATTCACTCTGTTATGCAGACGATACACTAATGGCGTTCCAAGAAACTTTAAAGCGAGCATTTTCCTAAAGCTAAACAGACAGTAACTGTCTTCAAACCAATAACAACTTTTAACACCAAGTAATATGGCAGCGCTGCCATGTCTCTGCGTGATTATTAAAGAGCTTTCAAGAACAATGTTGCTGTCGAACTAAAATATTGACTTTGCTCCCTCGTCCCACTGGTGAATACAAACACCCTTAACCGCTCAAAGTCATAGATGTATAAGTCCATCAAACACACACACAGGCAAAAAACACACAGACAAAAAACCACGCAGACATACACACTAAAATAGAACTGGCAAGCCACCAAGACACTCAATAGAGCCAATCTTTCCCTCGCACGGCAGACTGTGAATTCCCAGTTTGCTTTGCAGCAACAACGGGGTGTGTGTGCATTTATGTGTGTGTGTGTGTGTGCGCACATGTGTGTGTGTGTAGATAAAACACAGCAATCACTGAATGCAGGCACAAGGGCCACCAAACTAAACGCTTGGACGAAGCTGGCATGAAGACTCATGTACACACCCACACACACACACACACATATGATTAGGAATGGATATGCTTGCCAAGTCATTTTCCCCTCTGTTCCAGAAGGCACTGAAGTGCTTAGCACACAGTGAACAGACCTCAGCCTATAGAAATGGAAAGGCAGAATGAGACGGGGAAAAAAAAAGAAGGGAAGGGTGGGAGGTTGAGACAGAAAGCAGCAAAGCATATTGGTCACCAAAATTGCAAAAATTAATTGGTCACACCCATGTGGGTTTTGCATTTGCATCCACCAATTGTTCTTGAGCCTAGTTGCAGGGAATTAGAAGCTTTTATTGTTCACAAATTTTAGGTTACCGCTGAACGGCAGATATTTCGCAATCGCTTTCTATCCAGCTGCCTCCTCAATTTACAGCACGAGTACACTGCCGTTTACAGCACTGAGTTCACTGACAGTTACATTTACAGCTGGTTCTAGTGCCATTACATAAACATCATTCATACTGCTGCAGTCAAAATAAAATAGCTCAGGTTATTTCCTAAACTTATATTTACAAGGTGCTCAGAATTGAGCTAAACATGACATATGACAGGGAGTTAATAAAGTAATGGTAAAGGTGCGTCAGTATACGCTGTATTAAAAGCTCCCAGCTATTTTCATTTTGCAACGTTTCGATCTCACAGAGATCTTGGTCAGCTAGTGCGTAACGGTTGGATAAGCATAGCCTACTCTCTGTCAAAGGTTTTGTCGGATTACCGACAGATGAGAAGTGTCGATAAGAACGGGACAGAAAATATACATACGAGAAAAGGCAAACTGCAATATGATACAAGAGAAGAGAAGTTCATACACAAAAAGCACTGATTCATACTCACTTAAGAATTCTACATTACGCCATGTGTTCACTGTACGAGGTCGACGCAGCATGTAGAGTATGGTGTATGCAAACTACATACAGCGCAATACTCCTGGTATACTGTCAAGTAATGTTGCAGTCAAGGGCAAATGGTAACTGTGTAATGGAAGGAGAATTTCCCACTTTCCAAGTGGGAAATTGAGGACTATATGGTATTTATTTGTTTTATTGCAACATGTCAAAATCTTAGTACGAATTGGTATTCAAGATTTGATTTAATCCAAACAACACTCCCTTTTTAGTTCATGTGTTCTCCAATATAAAAATATCCAGACAGAAAACACAAGCAGGAGTTTCAGCGATATTAGCTCTGTGGCGGATGCAGACGTTGTTGAGGAATTCACTTCGTTAGACAGAAATGAACAGGACACAGCCTCAGATGGCGGCTAATGAGAAGCTCCGTCAGCGACTCGAACACGTCACGACGACTCTCTGTATTAGCTACACTCATGCCAGTTGTTGCCATCAATTCAATGGACGACCAATGATGGATGTGTAGTTAGTGAATATTTGACAAAGCCTCTATTTTAACAGAACTCATCTTCTGTGAAATTTGATGTAAAGTTAATTGTGTTTCCTGAACTAAATTTGGATTTAGATGAGTTTTGAAGGGATGGGATCACATTGCAGAGAGCTTTTTCAACATTTTTGTGAGATTTCCTAAAATTCTTACATTAGTATCAATAGCCAGCATCACGAATATTGGGGGAGCTTATGTTGACTTTGGGTTTAAGAAAAGTTCATCACTCAAGTGCTTTTTTCCATCGACAGATTGATGAATAGTGTCTCTTTTTGTTCTATGCTGTGGTTCAGGGTTTTAGAGCAGGTCATCAACAAATGGGAGGTTTGGCAGTTGGATCCCCGGCTCCCCCAGTCCCCGTGTCCAAGTGCTCTTGGGCAAAATACTGAACCCCAAATTGCTCCCGAAGACTGTGCCATTGGTGTGGCTGTGTGCGTGAGCAATTCGATTATAATCTGATGAGCAGGTTGGCGCCTTTGCCCTCTTAGTGTATGAATGTTTGTGTGAATGTTGACTGGAAAGGTACATTTACCCTCCATTTACCATTTGGCTCACTATGACACTTCACTCCATAGTTGTATTTTATTGTTTTATAGTTCCGGATTTGGACCACAACTGCACAATATTGCCCAGTTGTGGCTGCATGCTCAAGGACCTCTCGTGTTGCGGTGACTAACACTTATTTACAACACATTTCTAGCCTGTGCATGAGTGCATCCACGACCCCGAACTGCTACTATGCGCCCAGAATCACAGTGGGGTGGAAAGGGTTTGCACACTGTTATTAATTTGCATTTAATTATCTAATTATTTTTTATAACCGCTAACACTTTACAGCACGTATTCATTCAATCACACTATACAGCGGTGGTCATTGTTTTTAATGCAGCAGTGGCCGGAGGCATGATGTTTTCGGGGTCCCCCTCTGCCGGTACCTTTGTGAGCTCGGCACAAACGTCCACCTGGACCCAAGGATGAACTGATTAGATTTTGGTGGTTAAAGATCACTGTGACCTCACACAACACGTTGTTGGCCATAACTCAATAATGTATTTGCTATTGATGACAACTTCACACAAATGTCTAATTGGATACGAGGATGAAGCGATGACATTTTGAACGAACATGTATGTAAACTGTAACATGACTGGTTGACGGAGGCATACAACCGCCAAGCAGTTGTTCTAGTTTTCACAAATAAATCATCAGGGCGTAAACGTTACAAAGATATTGTAACAGGCACAATTATTGTTAGAGAAAACAATTTGGACTGTACGGGAACGACACATAGCAGCTCTTCTACATTTGAAAAGGCATAAGATATCTTTATTTTTTTGAATGTGTCAGACTCTTCTTCTGCTTTTCTTCAGCGTTACACTTGTAATGGTGGTTTATGCATTATTAAATAATCTAAATTGCCTTCAGTCAATACAGTTCAACAAGACCTTAGATTGATCTACAGCTGACATCAGTCAAGATCAAGTAGCAATATATCATTCAAAACAAAACCATGATAAATTCTGAGATACTTTACTGCGTTGTACTCTCAGTAATGTGTAATCTCAACCTACATTGTCTCCAACATCGGCTCCCTTCCTTGAGTAACATTGCCCGTGTTGTTATGCAAGCCAAACCACTCAGAATTTTAAACACTTAAATCACTGAAAGACATGAGAAATGAGAAATGACACGGGCAAGCGCATTCATGTTCGACCTCCCTCGCATTAGTCTCATGTCCAGAGTTGCTCCGTTTCACATCAAAAGGACGTCACAGTGGAGATAACAAATTGACAACAGCTGCAACTAAGACAATAATTCAGAAACTCTTGCTTTTATTAGAAACAAGTGAAGTGAGTGATGTGAAGTGAATAATGATCTCCTTTCTCTGGTTCCCGCTTCGATATTTCATAGTAAGTGATGATTCTCCCAAAACATAAAGGGTGTCATTGCATCCATATTTCATTGGAGAACAATGCAGTGTAACTGGCATACACAGTGAGGAAATGTGCTTACAAAGCATCAAAAGAACTGTCGCACAGTATGGATGGCTGCAGAATAATATAGGGCACTGCTGGATGGATGTAACAAGCTTCATAGCTACAC